GGAACATATGCAGACAACAATCGAGACACCAATCCAAGGAATACATGGATTATGGGAATCGGTGCCAAAAGTTCAATCAGAAAAATAGGCTTTAAGTAGCATCTAAAAGGGAGAAAGTTGAAGGGGAGGGTAAGTAAAGGAGAGAGCTTCAGAGCTTTAAGGTCTACACAGCTGGATGTTAGGGTTAGGGTGAGGTTGGGTTCCCAGGTGGCTCACTCCTGGGAGCTTGTGATATTTGGCAACTTTTACCCATCTGGGGTCCTTGGATCACAGAATCACAGAGGTGTTACAGCACAGATGGCCCACCATGTCTACATCATGCTCCTGCCATTTCCCATCCCTTTGCACATTGGTTTTATCTAAAACAAAATCCAATGCCCCTTTGAATGCCTTGAATGACCCTGCCATTACCACACTAGGGGTAAAGTTAGTCTGCAGCTATCAATCCTCCTTTATCTTTGCTTTGTCTCAGGTTTACCTAGTGATTAGTGGCAGAGGATAACCACAGTAGAATATCTACAGAAGAGATATTTTTCCAGATAGCCATTACCATAGAAAACATCGGAAAGTATTCCCTAATGGCAGAGTGAAAGAATTAGGGAATGGGATTGAAAACCAGAATCCTTGTAGAGTAGTGGAGCTGGTAGATATTATTGACGGGAAGGGAGGAGACCATAAGAGGTTTTGAATAAGAGGATGAACATTTTAAAATCCAGCATTTGCTGGGGCGGGAGCTAGCGTAAACCAGGGAGCACAGATTAATGAGATGATGTGAATTCAGAAATGAGAATCAGAGTTTTGGATTGGCTTGGGTCTAGAACTTGGAAGGTGGAAGATGGGAAAGCATTGGAATAGACAAGTCTGGAGGTACCAAAAACATAGATAAGGGCTTCACCAGCAGATGGACTAAGACTGGGGGATGGAAAATGAGACAGATGATGATGAGAGGTGGGAGTATGCAGTCTGGGTGATGAAGAGGATACAGGCCAGGGAGCAGAGCTCAAGGTCAAATGGAACAGTGACACAATCTGTTTCAGCCAAAGATGGCTGTCAGAGAATGGGATGGAATTGGTTGCTAGGAAACAGAGGCTGTGATGGAAACACAGGGCAATAGCTTTGGCGTTCCCAATGGCCTGCATTCAACTTGACTGCATTTTTCACAAAGAGCTATATTTCAGGTAGTGTTGGATGGTTTGGTGTAACACAAGTTCTGTTACTTCACTTTGCTCAGGCCCTGACTCCATATTCACATCAAAAACGATTGCCCATTCCAGTTGGGTATACCTTAGGAGGTTTCACCACAACCTCTGAGCTCCAACCATTCAACTCCCATCATTGATTACCCAAGACAGCCCGATCAGTGGAGTCTGGTCAATGGTCAGCTGAATGAATAATCCCAAACTAGCTTTATATTTCCTCCCCCTACCTACATCTATCTCTGCACAGAGAATGACTTTTTTTTTCCTGGAGATTCCAGGAGGGTTGGTAATCCCAGTTCCTTAAGCTTAGATTCTCCAACAGTAGGTCAGAAAGAAATTCGGGAAGTGCATGTCAGCAAATCTACAGTAATCTTGCTGAGCGCTGATATAAGTGTGGAAGCCACAGATTGGCTGGAGGTTCCAGGGCACTGTATTCCCCAAACCCTAACAGAAATGTCTGCCCACCAAAAGGCCACACAGTTGTACCAATCTGGGAGCAATGTTCATTACCTACAATTAAGACATCTGCCTCCATTTCGAAAGGGTGTCCCACTTTGGACAGCTGAGAATCAATCTCTGTGAGGGGAAAAATGTTATAGGTGGGAGGGTGAGTAAAAGGCTGTTTGACCAACTAGTCAAGAACTATTCAATCTGATTGGCCAGCAGCCCTAAAATCCCAGCAGCCCCAAGGTCAAACGGTGTAGCGCATGAGCTGGACTTCAAGAACAAAAACAGAAGTTTCTGGAAAAGCTCAGCAGGTCTGACAGCATCTATGAAAAAAAAGATCAGAGTTAATGTTTCAGGTCTGGTGACCCTTCCCCAGAAGGCTTAGCCAGACTTCAAGGTAGGTTCAGGTGTACTGGCAGAGTCTGGCAGGCAGACACCAGAGAGTGAGGGGGAAGGCAAGAATTTTTGTTAGAGAGGATGGAATCATAGAATCCCTACAGTGTAGAAACAGGCCCTTCGGCCCAACAAGTCTACACCAACCCTTGGAGCATCCCACCCAGACCAATCCCCTTATAACCCACCAGCTACGCATCCCTGAACACTACGGGCAATTTAGCATGGCCAATCCACCCTAACCTGCACATCTTTGGACTGTGGGAGGAAACCAGAATACCCAGAGGAAATCCAAGCAGACACGGGGAGAATGTGCAAACTCCACACGGGCAGTCACCCGAGGGTGGAATCGAACCCGGGGTCCCTGGCGCTGTGAGGCAGCAGTGCTAATAAACTGAGCCACCGTGCCGCCCTTGGTAGGCCAAAAAGGGTTTCTTAACTTGGGGGTGTGCCATCAATGTACTTCCCCCTCCCTTGGCCCAACACCAACCCTAGCTGTAAAAGCTGTCAAGCTGCCAGTGTGCTACCTGTTGCGGGTAAGGTGGGAGTGAAAATGGAACAAGGCACTTAGTTGTTCATTACTTAGTCATTTGAGGGCCTGAATCAGACTAAGAAGGATGCACTGCCTGAACCCTGCTCAATGCAGGATGGGAGACCGCTCAGTGGAAGGCCATGCACTACATTTTAAACCTCCCTCCACCCACCAAACATGCCAGCGGGGGACTGTAAAATCCAGCCCACCAGTGTACTCTGCACAATGATTCATCACTGCTAGAATATGTCCTTTATAAACACACATACAACATCTGCTGCATGGAGAGATATGACCACATGTGGTATGATGACTAAAAGTTGTTTAAAACCACCTGAAAAAACCTTTACACTGGTCAGACTGCTTTCTGATAAAAACTATCCCTGAAACAGCAAGCAAATTAATACCAAGTTCCTTTTTAGTACCTTTTGTTTGGGATAGGAAACAATCTGGCCTGTACAGTGCAATGTTGTTGGGACAAAAGACATTGTGAAGGGAGGTTCAATGCACTGTTCCAATAGCAGGTGATATTTTTACATTTGCTCTGACCCGGTTGCGTCAGGGTGTTGTCTTACGTAAGTGTGCAAAGGACCAAGAAGCTAACTGATCAAATGTGCAGAAAGTCACTGGGAATGATCACTTCAGCTTGGCTGGTGGTGAGGAGGGCACTGCCCGTCAGATCCTTCATGCATGCCCGGTCTCTGTGCCACCACAGCACCCAGCCCTCAAAGTGGCTGTGCTGGTGAAGAGACTGTCACACATCTCCTTCTGGAATGTGCCTTTGTGAAGGAAATTCGGAGAAAGATGAGGTGGTTTTTGTCAAGGTTCATCCCGAGCAGTGCCGTGACGCAGGACTCTGTGCTCTATGGTCCGTTCCCCAGCACACACACCAAGACAAATATCAACTGCGTCTGCAGGACCATCAACTTTGGTCTGTCCGAAACTTGTTGGTTATCCAGTGTAAACAGTTGACCTCGGCCGAGTGTTGCAGACTGGCACATTCCAAGGTCCAGGACTGCGTGCTGAGGGACGGACTAAAGCCTGGGACAGCTGCCACCAAGTGGGGAAAGACCAGCATCTATGGTCTTTCTGCCAAAGTACAAAGGGGGTCCGTTAAGCTCTCAGACCACACTGTTGCCTCAAAATGAATGTAAATAGCTTCCTGCATGAGTAGAAAATGCCTTTGGTTTTGCAACAGTTCTGTGGATTTTTCTGAAGAAGGGACCTGATCCGAAACGTCAGCTTTCCTGCTCCCCCTGATGCTCCCTGGCCTGCTGCGTTCCTCCAGCTCCACACTGTGTTATCTCTGACTCCAGCATCTGCAGTTCTTACTCTCTCTGTCAAATTCCATGTTGTTTTATCCTCTCTGCAAAGACTATACAAAACTGTTCTAGGACTTTTTATATGTACAAATAGATAAATTCTTCATGAATAAAGTATATTTTTACACTAAAAGGAATGATCCCTTCAGCAATCCTTTTCCCTAGTACTCAGAGAAATTAAAACCTTGCATTTACTTAGAATTTTTCACAACATTGGGATGTCCCAAAATGTTTTACTGCCAAAGTACTTTTGAAGTGTGGTCACTGCTATATAGAGGAAATACAGCAGCCAGTTTGCACACAGCAAGCTCTCACAAGCAGCAGTGGGGAATGTTGGTGAAAAGAGGGGCAGTATATCCTTTACAGGGGTGTTAAGGGATCTTTTATGTGAACCTAGGGAGGGCAGAGGAGCTCTTGTCTTCGCAGACAGTGCAGTGCTCCCTCAGTACTGCACCTCAGTTCAGATCGGGTCTTCCCCAAACTCATGACCACCCAGTGGAGTGAGCAAGATCAGATTCTGGGGTCACCAACTCCAAGACACCAAAATGGCTGCCATGGAACACTCTTCACTGTTATAAGCCGTGAGGCACCTTTGAAAACTCGCCTTTTTTTTTTAAGGAAAGTAAAATAGCAAACGTGGTCTAACTGATTCCTGCTCTAAAAGAGGTAGTGGTAAAGAAAGGAATCTCTGAAGATTAAACATTCCCTGCTCTCACACTGAGGGGTCATGGCATCTTTTAAGCCTCGAAACAGGCTTACATTGAGAGAGAAAATTCTGGTTTAAATTGGTCATTTCTCTGGATTGTGGGTTTTATCCCACAAGACAGGCCACAACGTCTAGAACTGACCGCTTATACAACACCTGTGCATTCTGTTTGAGCCTGGCTGCTAATTTCTGGACCCAGCAGTTGGCACCAACTGAATAATGAAATGTAATCCACATTGCCCCACCACGAGCTTCAGTCTGCCAACGTAACAGTATATGACTGCCTTTTAAATAAACCCCCAACTGGCAACTTTTTTTAAAAAAATCGCATCATTCAAGCATCTCCCTAACCTGTCTGCCCTGAACACAAGAAAAAATGTTTTTTTTAAATAAAAATGCACCTTGTGATAGGGAGGCTCGGCAGGTCACTCCACACGTTTCAGCAGCTGCCGTTCCGTTCTGTGAAGGGACAGAGATGTTGCCTGTTTGCTCCTGACTCCGATTCCGATTCACTCTAGCTTCCTCTGAGAGAGTTTGCGGGGTGGAGCCGGGTCTGAGGCAGGGAGGGACTGAGACAGGGAGGTTTGGCTCAGGCAGCTAAACACGCTTAGCTGTTCCAAAGAGACAGCAGCAACCACAAAAAGGTTGTGGACTGGAGCTGACACGCTCTCCAGGTAAATCCTCTCTCTTACTCAGCTTCCATGTCCAGCAGCTAAACAGCAACAAGGTTCTTTCAAGTCCTCATGTTAGAATATGAATCGCATTATTTACAGTGGACCCAAATGGCCCACTATAAAAGATTAAACTCAATTGAATTTTTTTTAATTGCCTTGCCAAAACAAAACCGGATAGACCAGTATGATTTTCCCTTTGTTATAAGTCCTGTTCATATCTTTTCATTCTGCAAACCTTTACCACAATTCCTTCTTCATATTTATACCGACTGCCAACCAGCAAGTTACCTTTTTTCTGAAGAAGGGTCCATACCCGAAACGTCAGCTTTCCTGCTCCTCTGATGCTGCTTGGCCTGCTGTGTTCATCCAGCTCTACACGTTGTCATCTCAAGTTACCTCAATGTTTTTTAACCATATACCACAAATTATTACCTCAAACTTCTTTAAACAATTTTACCACAAACGTTTTTTAAAATAATTTTTACATTAATAGTTACCACAAATCTTTAAGATCATTTTTAGCACAAGTTTTTCCCTCAAAATATTTTAACCACAATTTTTTACCTTTACTTTAACCATATCTTTTGCCATTAATTACTACTACAAACTTCTTTTCACAATTTTTACCAGAAACTTTTATTAAACTATTTTTACCACTAAGTTTACCACAAACTTGAGAGCATTTTTAGCACAAGTTTTTATTTCAAAATTTTTGTAAGCACAGTTTTTACCTCATTTATATTGTTTTCTGGTCATGTTACTCGTATCCATCATAGACTGAGATAGTAGGAACTGCAGATGCTGGAGAATCTGAGATAACAAGGTGTAGAGCTGGATGAACACAGCAGGTCAAGCAGCATCATAGGAGCAGGAAGGCTGACGTTTCAGGCCTAGACCCTTCATCAGAAATGGGGGAGGGGAAGGGGGTTCTGAAATAAATAGGGAGAGAGGGGGAGGCGGATAGAAAATGGATAGAGGAGAAGATAGATGGAGAGGAAACAGACAGGTCAAAGAGGCGGGGATGGAGCCAGTAAAGGTGAGTGTAAGTGGGGAGGTAGGGAGGAGATAGGTCAGTCCAGGGAGGGCGGACAGGCTTGGGGACCGCTTTGCAGAACACCTACACTTGGTTTGCAATAAACAACTGCACCTCCCAGTCGCGAACCATTTCAACTCCCCCTCCCATTCCTCAGACGACATGTCCATCCTGGGCCTCCTGCAGTGCCACAACGATGCCACCCGAAGGTTGCAGGAACAGCAACTCATATTCTGCTTGAGAACCCTGCAGCCCAATGGTATCAATGTGGATTTCACAAGCTTCAAAATCTCTCCTTCCCCTACCGCATTCCAAAACCAGCCCAGCTCGTCCCCGCCTCCCTAACCTGTTCTTCCTCCCACCTCAAGCCGCACCCCCATCTCCTACCTACTAACCTCATCCCGCCCCCTTGACCTGTCCATCCTCCCTGGACTGACCTATCTCCTCCCTACCTCCCCACCTACACTCACCTTTACTGGCTCCATTCCCGCCTCTTTGACCTGTCTGTTTCCTCTCCATCTATCTTCTCCTCTATCCATCTTCTATCCGCCTCCCCCTCTCTCCCTATTTATTTCAGAACCCCCTTCCCCTCCCCCATTTCTGATGAAGGGTCTAGGCCCAAAACGTCAACCTTCCTGCTCCTATGATGCTGCTTGACCTGCTGTGTTCATCCAGCTCTACACCTTGTTATCTCCATTATAGACTAGCAGCTTCACTTTAACCTTTCCCCTGTATAAACTGCCCCCCTGCACCCGCTTACACAGACACCAGCCTGCTTTGTGAATATAGATGTGCAATGCTGCCTCCAAGTAAAACCACTTCTTCATTCAGGTCATTCAATCACAAATAATGCAAACACAGCTTAAAAAGTATCCAATTTCATATTTGTGCCTCTTAAATCATTGATACTCGGCTTCGCTCCAGGTTCCAAGGGTCACTGTGAACATTGCACGTTGACATTTTTCATATTGAGTTGTAATCTATCATTTACATGTCTAAATGCAAAACAAAATATTAAACCCAGCACAACACTGCTCATGACTAACTCACAAATGAAAATGTTTTCAATCCTCTAGTGTTGGGGTGGAAATTGGAATGGGGCAGGGGGGCATGTTTTGCAAACAAGAACTAGGTCTCTTTAGGAGTCATGTCAGCACAATGGGGGCTGAAGTTGAATTTAAAATGTCAGTCCTAAGTCCACAGATTTTTATTATTTAGGGATGTTAAGGGATATAAAGCAAATGAGGTAAATGGGGTCAATGTCTCCTCTTCTTCCAATGCTCATAATCCCTTCATTTTCTTCTTTATTCTTTCATGGGATATGGGCATTACAGGCAAGAGCAGCACTTGCTGCCAATCCCAAACTGCCCTTGAACTGACCAACATGCCAGGCCATCTCTGAGGGTTCTTAAGAGTCAACCACATTGCTGTGTATCTGGAGCCAGAACAGGTAAGGACATCAGATTTCCTTCCCAATGAACCAGACGGACAATCGATGATAGTTACATGGTCATCACCGCTGATGGCTAGTTTTACGTTCCGGATTTATTAATTGAATTACATCAGCCGCTGTGGGTTTGAAACCAGATTCTCAGAGTGTAGGCTAGCCCCTGGTTTACTAGTCTGGTGAAATTATCATCACATTCTTGCAGAGCTCATTTATTTTTATTTCATTCACAGGACGAGGGCATTGCTGGCTAAGCAGCATTTATTGCCCGTCCCTAATTGTTCAGAGTCAACCGCATTGCTGCAGGTCTGGAGTCACATGTAGGCCAGACCAGGTAAGGATGACAGATTTCCTTCCCTAAAGGACATTAATGAACCAGATGGGTTTTTCCAACAATTGACAATGGATTCACGGTCATCATTAGATTCTTGATTCCAGATATTTATTGATTTCAAATTCCGCCATCTGCTGTGGTGGGATTTGAACCCAGGTCCCCAGAACATTATCTGGGTCCCTGGATTAACAGTCCAGCGATAATACCACTCGGCCATTGCCTCCTCATTTATTCGTGGGACGTGGGCATCGTTGGCTGTGCCAGCACTTATTGCCTGTCCCTAGCTGCCCTTGAGAAGGTGGTAGTGATCATGATCTTAAACGACTGCAGTCCATGTGCTGTAGGTAGACCCACAATGCCCTTAGGGAGGGAATTCACAGATTTTGACCCAGTGACACTGAAGGAATGACAATATATTTCCAAGTCAGGGTGGTGAGTGGCTTGGACAGGAACTTCCGGGGGTGGTGTTCCCCTGTATCTGCTGCCTTTGGCCTTCTAGATGGAAGAGATTGTCGATTTAGAAGATGTTGTTTAAGGAGCATTGGTGAGTTGTTTTAAATTTCTTCCTGTTATAGTAACTCATTTTTACATGGCACCCAATTAAATGACAGAATTTTAAAACGAGTGAAAATCTTGGTTGAGGAATCTCGACATCCCACATCTGGAACTTGAGGCAGTGGATTGATTTACCTTCCATTTTATTTCCTTTAGTGGGGTGGATTCCGGAGATTAACATTGCAATCGGAAAAAAATAGAGTAAAGTGTGACCTCATGAACAGTCCCTCCAATTCTGAAATAATCGTTTGAAAACCATTAGGGAAGGAGGGGCAAACACTCACATACAAAGACGTCTGACTGCTGGAATTAGTCCTGATTCACCGCTCCAGCCTTATCTAAAAACAAAATGCTGCAGATACTGGGAGTCTGAAATAAAAAAAAACAACAAACAAAGATTGGGAACACCCAGCAGGCCTGGCAGTGGCTGTGGGGGAGTTTACAGTTAACATTTCTGTTTAATAACCCTATTTCAGAATTCTCGTCACAGCCACTTGATTGCTGTTTGCGGGAGCTTGCTGTGCTGTTCCCTGCGTCACAACAGTGACCAGGCTTCAGAAGTGTGATTTGGGCTGTAACTGAGGTGAAGACAGCATTTGTACACTGTAAAAGATTTTTCTGACTATTCTTTCTCGAAGTCACAGGGAGTGGTTGTTAACCTGCAAAAAAACACTCCTGCATTGCTATTTATCTTACCACCAATTTATGTGCCATTGAGACATAGAGTTTAACAGCGAGAAGAGAGGCCATTTGGCCCACTGTGTCTGTGCTGGTCATCATGTACATTTGTCCCATTTTTCAGCACTTGGCCCATAGCCTTGTATACTATGATGTTGCAAATGGCCACCTAAATAATTCTTAAATGTTGTGATGTTTCCTGCCCTCTACCAGCTTTTCAGGCAGTGAGTTCCATATGCCCCAACCCTTTGGTCCTTAAATCACCTCTGCTCTTTACCTTAAATCATTGTCTTCCAGTTATTGATCCCCCTACTAAGGACAATTTTATCCCATCTATGTTCCTCAAAACTTTGTAGACCTCAATCAGGTCTCTCTCAGCCTTCGCTACTCTAAGGAAAACAACTTTAGCCTATCTAGTCTCTCTTCAGAGCTGATTCACTCTCTAGCCCAGGCAACAACCTGGTGAAACCCCTCTGCATCCTCTCCAGTGCAATCACATCCCTCCTATAGTGCAGTAACCAGAACTGCACAGAGTACTCCAACTGTGGCCTAACTGATGTTATATACCACCTCATCATAACCTCTGAGTTCTCAAGAAGGGACACTGGACGCAAAACATTAACTCTGCTTTGTCTCCACAGAGGCTGCCAGACCTGCTGAGTTTCTCCAGCAATCTCTGTTTTTGTTTGTTCCATCCTAACCTCCTTGCTGTTGCATTCACTCCCTTGACTAATAAAGACAAGTATCCTATCTGGCTTCTTAACCACCCTATCAACCTATCCTCTTGCCTTCAGGATCTATGGGCAAGCACACCAAGGTCTTTCT